AAAAAAAAAAAAAAAAAACACCAAATGAACGGCCGGTCACATTCAAGTGACCGGTGCCGGTCACATTCAGTGGTCCGGCACTGCAACCAACCAATCAATCAATCAATCTATCAAAAAAAAAAATGAATCGATCCATCAATAAATCAATCAATCAATCAATCAATCAATCATCAATCATTTAATCAATCAATCAATCCATCCATCAATCAATAATCAATCAATCAATCAATCAATCAATCAACCAATCAATCAATCAATCAATCAATCAATCAATCAACAAATATTTTATTTTCTAGTTTTTTAATTAATTTTCTCACTCATCAAAAATCACCCCCCCCACAAAAATAAATAAATTGTTTTTGAATGTGCAGTCCTCTAGAGGAGGACGTGCGCAGGCCGAGGCCGCGCGCCGATTTCCCACGCGTGCCCCCACTCGGCCGTGGCGGGGCTGCGCGGGAACTCCGCCGCGGGCCCGCGGCCTAGGATCCGGGCCGCGGCCTCGGCCACAGGATCCGCGGCCGACGGTGCCACGTAGACGTACGGCCCCCTGGGGGGCCGTACGGCCGCCCCGTATTCTTACGGGGTGCAACACAGTTCTTATGTGGTACGTAGTAGAAAGGTACGGGTAATGGGGGGGAGTTTTCATTTTGCAGCCAGGCAGCTCGCGTATTCTGGGATTTGTGACTAAGGGGCTCGTTCGACACTCCTCGGGCGCGTAAAGTCCCTGAGGAATTGTTCGTTCCACCTATCCTCGGGGATGCAGTCGGCGAAAAAAAAGTGAAAACACTCTGAAGGAAATTCCTTGGGCTCCGGGGATTCCCCAGCCATTTCTTCCTTTTGCCCAAGGGACCTCACGAGGTCCCTTGGGCAAAAGGAATCCGCGTTTCATGGTGAGTAGCGGGCACATGGGTAGAGAGACGTTACAACCGAGAATCTGGATCGTGGCGGCACCCTATTAGCTGAAGGCCTCAAACACATTTGATTTTTTTTTTCTTTTTTTTTTCCTTGTCTGACATAGTTCGAAGGGAATGTCCTCGGGCGACGTCCCCGAGAACAGGTGGAACGATGGCGGGAATTTCCTTGAAAACCCCCAAGGAAACGTCCTCCGGCCCCGAGGACGCCCCAAGGAGTGTCGAACGAGCCCCTAATTATTTTCGTTTATCCCGAATTTATTCCCGTGATTCCGTATTTCTTTTGCGGTTCAAATTAATTAATTAATTTCCAGGGTGTCCGCCCTTTCATTTGTTTGAATTTTTTGGTTGGCAGAGGGGGGAATCTCCCGAAATAGGCGGAGTAGATAGTAACTGGTTTCCTAGGGGACATGTCCGGTAGGACCCGCCGCTGGCGGAAGTATACTGGGCGGGGGTCACATGCAAAAAATATTACCCTGTATTTCCAAAATTCCAAACAAGCCCCAATTAGTAGCAATCAGGTAGCAGGTATTCTGGTGTCCAGTTCTCAGCAACCTGCACAGTCAATCCTCTGGACGGCGGAGTAATCAATGCTGGCAGGTTTTTCTCAACCTTTTGTCTCGGTATTTTCTTGATTCATTCTGTATATGGGACGCTGGACCGGTTTTCCAGCTGGTGGCGCTTCCCACCAAGAGATGGAGCCCCTCCCCTAGTGCTAGTGGTACCTGCTTTTATCAGTACCGCTAGCAGTGCAGGGGGTTTCAAAAAAAAAAAAAAAAAAAAAAAAAAAAAAAAAAAAAAAAAAGTAGCAATTATGCACGGGACCGCGCTGTACCATAGTTTTTTGGGGGGGAAGTACCAGATAGGAGCCATCGCTGGTCATAAAAGAAGGAGGAAAAAAAAAAGAAAAAAGAAAAAAAAAGGAGCCATCGCTGGTGGCTGTAGACTAGGCTAGAGGTAGTAAAGATTATATGGAAAAAAAGTCCGTTAGGCATGCACAGCCATCATCATCGCTCGGAAAACAGTAGGACGGAGCCCGCATGGAATTTTGAATTTAGGAGGGAAAAGGAGAATAGGTGGCAGTAGGAGGAGAGGTGAAAAAGAGGTGGAAATAACGGATTTCGGGCGGGCAAAGCAAGGAGAGTCTTTTTTGAAATTTTGAATACCCAGGTAATTTTCGGACCTGGACACGCACGTGAACTAGCTGGGATTGCACAACAGTCCAGCATGCATGCGATGCACGCAAAAGAGAGATCGAGCGGCTGCGTAGGTCCGTAGGACAGTACTTGAATCTGACGCAGGAATGATGGGCCAATCAGAGAGTAGTAGAGGTAAGGGCAAAGTGCCATGCGAGGGAAGGTCGACAGTATTAAATGAGGGCAAGGCCACATAGGCCCTCATAATCTCGTGGGTGGCAGAGTACTGGTGGGCCGCGCCGCAAGGTGCTGGGATAGGTGACAGCCTCCTGATGAGACCGGAGCGGTTGAAACGTAGAGGAAAGCGTGCACGCTTTTCGAGCATGATTACATGCTGGGAATTTCTTGGTAATATCAGTATTTGCGTGTGAAGAGCAATGGGCCATTGCTTGTCTTCTTTCTTCAAAGGGCCTCATTCGACACCACTAGAAAACCCTTACATGTAAGGTTTTCATCGTTCCACCCCTCCCTAATCAGGAAGAAAAAGAAGTTTAATTTGTTTTCACATTCGCGGCCGTAAGGGCAGGCCCTACAAAAGTAAGTGCCGGCCAGCCAAAACGGCCCTTACCGTAAGGACGACCGTGGAGGTGACTTGAAAGTAGGGGGCGGCACCCTTACATCCGTGGAAAACCCGCATTTCCTGGCGGCCGTTGCACCGTCAGGTGCTGGGCCATGCCATTCCTGGTCCAACGGCGGTATTGTCCGGTAGACCAAGGGACAGCAGGCCCACAACAACCTCCAACGGTCATGTGGTTCCAATGAGGGTGTGCCTGCAGTCCCTCCACGGAGACGTTTCGGCTGGCGTTCGAAAACGCCCGTTGCAGGGGCACGTCTACGGGCGGGTTAGATAGCCGTTGGCTGCAATGTTTGAATTTGAGCTTGGATGTCGATGGCGCCCATCGATCGTGGAACCCTTCTCACGTCGGTCATCAGCAGTGCTCCCCTATATTGCTGCCCTCTGTCGTGTTCGAAAGCTGCCAGCTCCATTCCTTGTACTTACCGGGATGAGGACGGCTCTCATCATTTTCCTAGTTGGGGCTTTGCTACTGGTGATCATTTTGCACTTGTGGCAAGTGGTCGGCACTTTCAACCACGCTGGAAAGAGGAGGGGTTTGAAGAAGGTTCAACAGGCTGCTTCGGTGAAGACAGGCATGGGCGATGGATACGGAAGGGGTACAGAGGGTTATGGGATCGGTAGAGGGGGCTATGCAGTCGGGAGCGGGGCGGAGCAGAGCGTGCATCATAGATTTGATCCGAATCTGTATTTGCATCTGCCCCCTCACCAGCAGCCGTTGCCTGATGACATTACGTGGGCGCCGCCTCCGTCTACCCTGGATCTGGCATGGGGTTCGACTCAGACGTCTTATGATACACCTGCCAGAGTGGACGAACGGAGAGGGGGGCTCGGTCCCATGTCCGCACTACTGGCAGATGTGCGGGGAGGACCCAGTCTTCCAGTTGATCTGCATTTGTCTCCATCCACCACCATGGATGTGTCTAGAACGGTCGTCATTAACGAGAACGGGCAAGGTTGCGGGAGCACCTCTCGGACGATGCAAGACGCCGGCTTCGATGACGGGATTTCACAGCTCCAGTCGAACCGGGTGCCAACGTCCGTGGCGAGCGAACCCCGACCTGTGCCGACTCCTGTTCATCGCCCGTCGTCGACTGGCCCCTACGTGCAGGCAGGGAGTCGTGACGTGTCGACGGGTGGTGGATCCCCTCGTTGTGTGGAGCGCATTGTTTGCCGTTTGAACAACATGCGGGCGACCAGCGACGGCGATGGCGCACGGCAGGGCGGTGCTGCAACAGAAACAGAGCCAGTCGACGTCGACGTCGGCGATAGGGATGATGAATACAACGAAGAGGAAGAGGTCGTCGTCAAGGAAGCAATAGCTGGCGGGAAATCTTAGTTTCGTTTACATGACACTTTGATGTTGTATACGTTGTATGCGGTTTGACGTAGGACGACCGTTGTTCTTGTTGTATAAAAGATTTGCAGAACGAATTCAATCATGGCATGTGCCGTTGTTTGGTGGGTGAATGTTTTTTTTTTTTTTTTTTTTTCCTATTAAATGTTTACAAGAAACAAAAGCCCMCCACAATGGGAGGTGAAGCATGTTTGGAGATAGGGGCGATGATGGTGGGAGGTTGGTAAGGGGGTCGGTAATACACGCGTCAAGGGATACATGGAGGAGAATCGTTGGCAGGTGACAAAGCATAGCAGGACAGCGTGGAATGAAAAAAAAAAAAAAAAAAAAAAAAAAAGGAAACTAACATGAAACGAAAGCACTCCACACACTGATGACCCACGAAATGTTCGATTATATGTAAACAACCCCCGAAGGAAACATAGGTCCTTATCGGCCTACGCCGAGCAACACCATCACTGAACACTGCACACCCACCAACCAGCATTGATTGCTTCTCCGTTCGGGGAAGGATTAACTGGCAGACGCTAATACCTAATGTAGGAACACAGAAGCGAAGACGTAATCCAGGTGTCACTAAGAAAGCATAGCAGAACTGAGTGGAATGAAGAATAAAAGAAAAACAAAAAACAAAAGCAAACAAACATGAAACGAAAACACTCCACGCACTTATGACCCACGAACTGTTCGATTATATTTAAACAACCCCCGAAGGAAACAGAACTCTATATCGGCCTATGCCGAGCGACATCATCACTGAACTCCGGACACTGGCCAACCAGCATTGATTGCTTCTCCGTTCGGGGAAGGATCAACTGGCGGCCGCCAATACCTAAGGTAGGAATACAGGCGCGAAGACGTGTGGCCAGTCCAAATCATAACCAACAACCGTCCACATGATAGCGCATGCATCCGGATTTTCAAGATTGCATTCGCATACGAAGACCGTCACGCAAACCCAGAGCAGAGTCACTTGCGTCTGATTGTGACACGGGCCGTGGAAGATCTTGTAACCCTAGATCGACACGAGCGAGATTCCCATTCTCATCAGGTTCTAGCAGGACCGCATCATCAAACGGTATGCCGGCCTCGACTAGAAGGTTGTGGATGACACAGACGGCTGTGAATTGCTGAGGAAGGTTGTCCATGTTCGTCTTATGGTGACGAAGGAACAACCTTCACATCCCCTTTAGCCGGCCAAAATCCCTCTCCACGACTCCTCGCGTCGCTTCTGCCGCGTGTCAAACAAACCGACATCCCCCGTCTGCTCGCACCCTCCGTAAGGGACGACCATCCACGTCCTTGGAGAGTAGCCGTTACCCCCGAGGAGATAACCTGTTGTGGACACCCCTCCAGGAAGCTGCACCGGTTCCGCATTGAATAGCTCACCCGCCTCCGCGTATCGAAACAGAGATGAGTTTCTCAACACCCGTTGGTCATGGACGTTCCCCGGGTACCCCATGAACACATCAAGAATCCTCATGTCGAGGTCCACCACAACCTGGGCGACGACCGAGAACTGTTGTTTCCGGTCGTAGTAGTTCTCTGACGGTGCGTTGGCGGGCTTGTCAAAGTACACATGCGTGCAATCAATAGCGCCAAAGCAATTAGGGAAGCCCTTCACTCCGAAAGCTCGGGTCACCTGCCGCAGACGACGTCCAGTAGGCATGGCAATCTTGTCGGGATACGCAGCCAATATTGCGTTAGTGACGTCCATGACAGCCTTCAATCCCGACGCCCTGCCGATGCCGAAGCTGGAAGACGCGCTCTCGAAGGTCTCGCCCGAAGCCCACCTGTACAGAGCGAAGGCGACGATGAGGTCGGGCTGCAAAGGCTCTCGGTAATGTGTCAGTCTACGTTCGATGAAGGGACTGCACGCTGCGACGATGTTGCTGAAGATGCTCCGTGACATTCACAGTTTGTCGTGGAAATAGTCATCGGTGGCATCATCCGTGATGTCCAAGTCCCGCCATGTCCCCCCAGTCCGTCTTTTCATCCACCACCGTGGAGTGTCCCTCGGCAGAACACCCGCAATAATTGCGTTCGACATCAGGAACGGCGCATCCGACACGCCAGACGATGTGATAACGTCTGCCACTGCCTAGGCTATGGCGGCCTCCCTCCTCCCCTTTCCCCTCCCACCCCTTCGCCGTAGTCGGTTCATCGTCTCCATGTACCGACAGACCGCGAGGACGGCACAGGCGACCATGGTCTTCTCACGGTGTGACAGTGTCCTCACTTCTGCCTCCACCCTTCCACCACTGTCCATAGCTGAACACCCTTGCGAAGACACATCACAAGCCAGGCACGCAAAGACGATTCCGCTCCCGCAACGGTAGAAAATTCACGCGGTGCGGTGTAAAGAAACGCGCACGCGACGACTCCATGAAGCAGTCGACACGAACCCTGCCGGCGTGGATTTTGAATTCGAATTCGATGGGTTGTGCGCGTGTGCTTCGCTGGCAGTGGAGGACACCGCGCGCCCATTGGGAAGGCCCGCCTCGCTCCGCCATGGGCCCAAAGGAGGCGGACACGATTACGTCCGCTCAACTGCAGGTTGGACATTGAAATTCAGGTGGGCAGCCAAATACAACGGAATCGGAGGCACCTGAAACGTTAGTGCGCCTAAGTGTAGGGTTTTTGTAAATGGTTGTGGAATGAAAACTGGGGTAAGGGAAAATTAATCAGTTTTTTGTCGTAAGGGCGCCCTTACAAAGTAAGGGTTTTGTAGTGGTGTCGAACGAGGCCCAAATTCATTGAGAAAAGGCCTCTGAATGAATATTGCCATATTTCTGGCCCTTTCAGTGCAGAAATATGGCAATATTCATTTGAAAAAGATCTCTCTCTCTCTCTCTCTCTCTCTCTCTCTCTCTCTCTCTCCCCCTGTGCCACGTGGC